AGCCCTCGTCGACGCAGGTATCCACAGCTCAATTCGGTTCGATAATGTCGCATTAAAGAGTCATCGGAGCTGGGAAAGGAGCTCATTCGTGGGTGTAGTCACATAAGGAACGTGAACTCGGCGAACTAGTGGACGACCACGGGTCGATGCAGGGAGCGCGAGATAGCCTCCTGCACCTCGTCCAGGCCGCATCGTCCCTGTCTTTTGCTCTGCGTGCACCCTCCTACGACGAAGGCGAAATCGTGCAGCTGCACAAACACGCGCAAGACATGGTGAGTCCTCGCCGACTCTTCGTACTGTTGGCCTGCATACGTCTTCCAATCAGTGCGTATGCTCATTTCCATTGATTATATGATATACCGATGTGGAGTGTATTTTATATATCAATGTGCGTCACAGAGCTTTCGAGCGGGTCGAAACAGGGTGTTGGGGCGGTTCACACGACTATCCCACGGCTGCTGTAACATGAGCAATTTCGGTCGTCAGAAAACATACCAAAACGAAAAGTGGCATTTATTCGCTAGAAAAGTGGTCACGGCATGAAAGGAGCACATCGACCCGAAAGTTTTCCGCCCGCAGCTATATTATACTTCTACATATGAGACTAGTATACGGCATATTTGTTTTGGGTGTTTTTCGGGATGAGGTACATTACGACCAGACGGCGGGCCAGGTTATGTATGTATTTATCCGCACCGTTCGAAATCGCACCCCCAGGTGGGATGATGGGCGAAAAATGTCCTCAAGAGAGCAGGCGTAAGAGCTTCGATGCACACTCTTTTGCACTTTAAGGAGGCAATCCTCGATCACGGTAAGAGCATACTCGAGGACCATGTCATTATGTGTGTGGCCTATCGTTTATCATCGCCCGCGGAACATTTCTCAACAAGCACATGATATTGATCGTGATACGTAGATCCTTGTATCGTGGAACGAGACCATACCATAGGTGTGCTGGTACCCGACTATTTTATGCAGACCGTTATTTGTCGTACACGATGATGTGATATACCATTTTTTTTGTGGGGTTTTCCCCACAAAACCAGGCGCGTGGATCATGTGAGCTCCCTCCTGTGTTATTTTCCGCCGTACTTTCCATGTTTCACGCCATCACCAGGGATCGTCCCGAATGCAAGCACAGGGGAGTTCGCTCATCAGCAGCACAAGCGAACCAACAAGTCGAACTGCGGACGGAACGCCTCTCAGCACTACATCACGAGTGCCAACACGAACTACGCATGGGCCGCTCTCGCGGATGGTGTGCGGTACAACGTTATGAATTACGACTACCGTAAACGCCTCAACGTCGAGGTGACTGTTCGACCCGGGGAATCTTGTGTGCGGGTCTTACAAACCTTGAGGAGAGACCTGCCAGGAGGGTTGTCACAAGGAGGCACAGACGTCCGAGAACCAGGGAACCCGTCGAGGCAGAGGGTGGCTGACGCGCACCAAGGGTCCGCGATCTGGGATGCCTCTCTGATACAAGACTCACACGACTGGATGGAAGTTGATGGTCACGGGAATGGGACTCCACCCAAATGGGAGGCGATGGTGGCTTCTGGACGTTTTCGCCCGACCTTGCCCGCCATGAAGGCGGCATATAAGGTTTTACTCGCGTGCCGCAGGGAGCCGGGAGATGTTTCACTTCGCTGCGCCGAACTACGCTGCCCCACGTGCTGGAATAACACGGGAAATCTGGATTCGTCCACAATACAATGTTCCAGGTACAACCACTTCGCTTCAATGTTGGCCAGCAGTGGAAGAGGAAGTTGGAAGGGCGGAGATGTGCGGTCCGCGGCGGACTACCTAAACGATGACGGTCCGCCTGATGCCTGGGTCTTGGGGGAGGGGGGCGGACAGGACGTCGAGGTATGGAGAGGAACTCCGCCCACGGGCGGCGACGCGACAGCATCTTCATCAGTCGAGAACCTATCGATGGGTAAGATCGTGTATTTCTTCAAACACCGGGGGAATGCTAGGGAGGGAACAGCCGAGCCCGGTCCAGGGACATGGTGGGTGCTTTTTTTGTTCGAGTAATTGTCCGCCGGATCGGAGAACGCGCGGTTGGCCGATACCGTGACCCAACACCCGGTGATGAGGTTGCGTGGGCGACGGCCCCCAGTGGTGTTCCCAGCAGAAAACATTCGTCGGCACGTGCATCTCTACCACATGTGCCCGGCGCCTTCTCTCGGCCACGTCGCGTCAACTGGACAGGACGGAGACGACGGTGCGCAGCCAGCCAGTCCGCCGCCGCCACCGTGTTGTGGTGTTTGGTCGCCGGGGTCAGCATCAAAGGGTGGCGACAGAGGACGGGCGGCAACTTGGCGGCACGTGTTTAAACTTGCCGAGCGGGCGGGGCAAGAGGACAAGTACCTGTTGAATAAACACCACCACAGCATCGGCCAGACTTCGTTCGCGACCTGAACATGTATTTCGTGTCGCCGGCGAGAGCGTTCCCATTGATGTGCGCCAGCTAGCTCTGTGAAAATATGTAGCTGCGGACGTATGATGTATATTTACATTGTTTAGGCGAGAGAGGTGTGCACGCCGATATATGCCCTCGTATTACCCTTCATAACACAATGTGATTGCTTCTGTGCACTCAAACAGTTTGTGGATGCTGTACGGGGGTATGTTGATCATGCCGACGGGATGTATTATGTCATTTGTTTACGATGAAGGTGTTTCCCATCACTGACGCTGTGGGTATCGGACCCGGTCAATGCCTGAATATGTATTTCAACCCCGCAAACAATATTCGATATCCAAGTGTTTATATTTCAGAAACTGTTTATATTTCAGAAACCCTGCAGCTTGGGCAACTCTGTGAAGAACAGAATGACCCTGTCCAACGATGAAGCACCACATGGTGTGATCCTTCATCGACCCTTGATGTGCGTCTACATGCCATGTGCATCCCCGAATACGTCGCCCTGCGGACCATGCAGTATCCCCAAGGCCTGGGTTTCGGGACGCTGTGGATGACGCAACACCGAATGACCCTGCAGCACGTTTAAGCCCCACATGCTGCATTGCTTCACTAGCCCTGTGGATACCGATACCCTGGCGTGGCGAGGTTTCGTGACCCAATGGACCATACGATATCCCCAATGTCGGACTTGCGTGACCCTGCAGATGACGCAACCCTAGCAAGGTTCACCGAATGACCCTACGGAGCTTTCAAGACCGACATGGAGTGTTCCTTCACCGACCCTGTGGGTATCGGTACCCTGTCATGGCGCGGTCATGTGACTCTGCGGACCATGCAATATCCCCAAGGTCGGACTTTCGGGACCCTTCCGATAATAAAACCCTGGCAAGGTCCACCGAATGACCCTGTGGAGCTTTCAAGACCCACATGGAGTGTTCCTTCGCCGACCCTGGGGGGGTCGGCACCTTGTCACGGCGAGGTCATGTGACCCTCTGGACCAGACGATATCCCCAAGGTCGGACTTTAGTGACCCTGCCGATAATACAACCCTGGCAATGTTCACCGGTGCACCCTCTTGAGCTTTCAAGACCCACACGGAGTGTTCCTCACCGATCATGTGGGTATCGGTACCCTGTCATGGCGAGGTCATGTGACCCTCTGAACCATGCGATATTCCCAAGGTCGGACTTGCGTGACCCTGCAGATGACGCAACCCTGGCAAGGTTCACCGAATGACCCTGCGGAGCTTTCAAGACCGACATGGAGTGTTCCTTCACCGACCCTGTGGGTATCGGTACCCTGTCATGGGGAGGTCAGTGACCCTGCGGACCATACGATATCTTCAGGGTTGGTTTTCAGGACCCTGCAGATGATAAAACCCTGGCAAGGTCCACTGAATGACCTTGTGGAGCTATCAAGACCCACGTGGAGTGTTCCTTCGCCGACCCTGGGGGGTTCGGCACCCTGTCATGGCGAGGTCATGTGACCCTCTGGACCAGACGATATCCCCAAGGTCGGGTTTTCGGGACCCTGCGGATGACACAACCCTGGCAAGATTCACCGCATGACCCTGTTGGACTTTCAAGACCCGCAGGGTGTGTTCCTTCACCAACCCTGCGGGTATCGGCAACCTGCCATTGTTGATCGAGCAACCCTGTCAATGTTATTTACTTTGACAGAGTACCCACAGGGTCGCATACAGGGTCAAAACCTCCACAACATGTTCACAGGCTTGAGCAAAGTGGTCACCGGTGTCGACAAGGGAAAGGGATGATTGCAACCTTTCCAGGACTCGCCACACAACTAGGCCACGACCTGAAGCAGTACCCGGCAGCAATGCTGCGAGGTGTGAATCTATTGTGATGAAAAAAGAAAGCACCGGAAGAAGAAAGGTACAGTCTAGGTGTGTTATGGCAGCTTGTGTGTAGGAGGCTGCACCCTGGCTGAATCCGAGGACATGTATCTGATTATTCCGTAGTCACGATACTAGACTAAGGTGTCAGGCGGGACATATGAACGGCGATCCAGAGCAGCCAGATCCCTCGTCTGTCCTAAAGGGTGTCGAAGCGTCGGTGGTTAAGCTGCAAGCTTCGAGGAAGAGGCACCAGTTACGATCCTTCATGGAGGAGGTCTCGCGCCGGAGACCTCTGTCTAACACGCACCACGCGTTAAGTCAAAACCACCCCCCCCGTGAAGGAAGATAAAGAACCTTATGCACACTGCCCACTGTGAACGTATCATGTGCTACTTTCCACTTGTAGTTGGTATCATGTGCAGTGATGATATTCGAGCGTATTGCGACCGCTTGTGCGTTGACTTGAGCTCCAACCCAGCCCAGAACTGGTCTCGAGACATCAGCTCGAGAGAGAGAGAGAGAGAGAGAGAGAGAGAGAGAGAGAGAGAGAGAGAGAGAGAGAGAGA